TTGCAGGTGTATTGTTAGCTGGCTGCCTGACCTACCTGGATATGTAGCCTTTGGCCTTCAATTCAGATCCCAATCTTGGACTCCAAGGCTGGCTTCAAATGCCTTTGAAAGATTCATGCCGCCATCTGCTGGCTTATTCAGGCTGTGTATACCATTTGTTCATTATTTTCATTTTCTTTTGTTGAGACAGGGTTTCTTCATTTCATCATAGAAATGAAGGCATCGTTTCTTCATTCCCGTCCCTATGTGAACCACTGCGATGTTCAGATTAGTGAATTGTAGGTACTTGGAAGGTCCCTAAGCAAAAACAATTTTGTGTTTTTTGTTATTCATCCGATGCCCAAAGTGAATATTTTGTTTAATTGAATCAACCAGGTATTGTGTTCTTTGATTGTTCTTAACACCTGGTGTCTAATCTCTTTCAGGCGGCTGTCCCGCGGTTTTCAGTGAATAAAATTGGACATTTCTCTAAGTTAACTGTTTCTCTAGGGCAAGTGCCACACCGCTGAGCTATTCTCAACTTTTGCTTTGGCTTTACGGATTTTTCTACCGCTGCTAGCAAGTAAACTTTTTGGTTCAAAGTTTGGAGTTACCAGATTCCCGGAAAGTACAAAAATGATACAGAACCAAAATTCTGTGCGCCATCAGTACAAATAGGTCACAGCCAATAATACCCTAATAATTTAGGAACCAAGGAACCATTTTGTGAAGCACCTCTTCTTTTTCCTTACCTCGAGCACACCAATTGATCCGTAAAGCATTTTAGTCACCAAGACGAGGGGCTACGCAAGGTCGGATGTCCAAGTAGATTATATATTGAAAATATGCATGTACATTATACAACGTTTATGTGCCTTTCCTATAAGCTATAAAATAGAGGATAATCCTTCAATATCACACAAAATGTGCAAATTTGGTGGTTCTCGATCGCTCTGTTTTTTTTTTTTTTTTCTTTTTTTTTTTTTTTTTTTTTGGTTTTTCGAGACAGGGTTTCTCTGTGGCTTTGGATCGCTCTGTTTTGGTACAATCATAATTAATTTTCATCTTAATTACTTTTTTTTAGAAAATATAGTTTGCATGAAAACTCCAATAAGAAGTCGGGACTTTTCCGCATTTCTGGCCACTCCTCTTCTGGTCTCTCCCGCCTTCAGCGTCACGATCATTTAAAACCCGGCAAGTGCTTGCCGCAGCCATGTTTGCCAGTTTCCCGTGGATGTGAGCCTCCTCCGAGGTCTCTGTCCATCTACCGGGGTCTCTGGGAACATTTTTAGTTCCCTTACCACCATGCCTTATGGTGTATTTAAGAAAATATATCAAGATTCCATAATATTTTTGAAGATTTTATATGTTCTGGTAGGCTTTTCTTGACACGTCTTTCATATTTTGATATTTGTAATATTTTGGGACAATTTTTCATTTTTAATGACTATTTCCTTGTCAGTCATTTTAGTCGCCATCTCTGTTTTGTGGACTTTTGTGCACTTACCTTTCTTTTATTCCATCTCTGTTTTTGCCCATGGGGGCTACAGTAAAATGTGTGCCCTTCTTCCCTGTCCCTTCACTCCATGTCCAGTGGGGCTGTGGATACTTACCTGCTTTTTATTTCGTTTTGTTTTTTTTCCCTCTTCCTTCTTTTTCTTCTTCTAAACTTGCCCATCTGGGCTGAGGATACCTGCTCCTTTTCTTTTTTTCCTTAGCCCATCGGGGCCATGGATACCTGTTTTTTTACAAGAAAATGTATTTCTTGGTCCATCGGGACCTCGGATACCTGCGTTTAGTCTTTCCTTGCCCATCGGGGCCTTGGATACCTGCTTAATTTTTTTTTTTTCTCTTTTTGCCCATCGGGGCCGTGGATACCTGCTTAATTTTTTTCCCTTGCCCATCGGGGCATTTGGTGGATGGATATAAGTTGGTTTTGTGAGTTATTATTGCACTACCTGGGAATAGCCATACCTCTTTTCTTTCCTCTTGCTGGGCTGCTGATCGTTTGGTGGTGTGTGAGTGAAACCGTGGCTTAGAAAAATGACTGCCCTTAAGCTGAGTGGGTGTTAAGGCCGTGGAGAGCCCGTTTCCGCCATGTTACAGTTGCTGCGTGACATGAGCCAGTTATGGCAAGAATTAGGGGGTCGAGGTAGACAGTGGACTGGACAGAGGCAATCATGTGTGCTGCACCAGCCAAAGGCTTTATATGTGTGTGGGTTTGGACTTGATTTGTGGCTTTTTAAGACTCATGGTAACTGGAAGCAGAAAATCAAGCTCTCGTGTTCGTGTGTGGTGTTATGTGAAAGGAGCTTTTATAAGACTTCAGGATAGAGCTTGAAATCGATGTTTCGATATTGGTGGGGGGCTCTGCCCAGATTCTAAGGAGTGCGTGTTAGGGTTTATCAAATGGTGTCTCGGCTGCTCTACCCAAGGCTCGACAACCCCACCTTTATTCTAATGTATAGCGTGGAAATAGGGCATTTAGGTTATACAAGAGAAGATGGCGTCTCGAGTTCTTGCTGCAGTATGAGGTAGCGGGCTTTGTTTTTCACAGGCCAGTCTGGTGGCCAAAGTTAGCCTAGAGGACAATGTAGCACATGCTTTGGGGTGGCCAAGATGGCGATGTCACGTGATTGTCCTCGAGGGTTTTTTTTTTTTATATATTCTTGGCGGGCTTAGTCTTGGCGGGCTTTACTTAGCCACGCACGGCGGGCTTTGTCCTTGTCCAAGATGTACTTAGTGCATTAAGATGCGAGTGGTTGGTTTTACCTTGTGCCACTCGAAGCCCAGTTGGAAGTTTGCCACTTAATCAGAAGTATTGGTTGCCTCTTGACTTAACTAGTCAAAAATGGGCACTTCTACTTGGTGTAGAGGATTGAAGTAGACTATGAAGACTCACTGTCCTAAAAGGACTTGAGTTACCTTGGTACCTCTTTCGTCATCGTTTTAAGTGGCTACCCAGGTGTGAAGGGACGCTTTTAATTCTAACATTTGAGGTGTTGAATGATGATCCGATCTGAGAGACTTGAGGGTGGAGGTTCTTAAGGTTGAGGTCGATGTGGATTGCACATTGAAGCCTCACCTATTAAAAAGAAAGAAGAGAATCATTATGAGGTCAGGTTAACGTATCTCTCCGAGGAGAGTAATTTATCTGCTTGCTCTCCTATTTGTCTAAATTGGTCTTTTGCAGTGCTCTATATGGTGGTACAAGCTAAGCCTCACCGCATTTCTTTGTATTGGTTCAGTGGCCTGAGACTTGTCTACTCACTCCCTGGCCTCGGATTTAGTTGGCACTGCCGTGTTAAGCAGTTCTCCAGGCCTGCTGTGGGCTTAGTGGTGACACTGGCCAGAGTCGTAATGGACTACAAGTAAAGCCCTGGCCAAGAGGTGGAATCCTGCCTCCTTCCACAGCCTCGTCTACCCCATGGCTAATGCTGGGGTTGAAATTTGATTTGTGTGAAGGTTTTGGATGTCAGCGAAGTTTGCTAGTGTGGTTTGCTAGTGCTTGAATCTAAAGTTGGAGTGATTATAGAAATGTATTTAAGAGCTTTACTGCTTGTAGAATTCAATTGAATCACCTTATGCTTTCAGTCCAGAATCCTTAGTGTTTTTAGCTTCTTTTAAATTCATTAACTTTTTTGGCAGATGATACTCAAGTCACTTAAATTTACATTCTTTCAAACTATCTATTGAAGTACTGTTAAACTTTTAAGAGTCTTATGACACAGATATTGTTAATGGAAAGTTAATCTTGTGATTGGATATCAAAAGGAGTATTTGAAAATCTACTCTAGTCCAGGCTTTGCTTTTGTTGCCATTCTTGATACTACATTGACTAATGACTCGAGTGGTCCGGTGTCCTCTGTCGGACTTACTACTGGGATATTAATGTCCACATAGCAACTTTCTATGGCTCCTGGCCTTTGTAGCATCCAGTTTCTTTTTAGACCTAACCAAACACTGCTGCCCTTGCCCCTGCCCCCAGCCCCAGCCCCAGCCCCACCCAACCCCAGCCCTTCCCCCCCCCCCCCCAGCCCAACCCTAGCCCTGCCCCAGCCCAGCCCCAGATTCTTTCAGCCCTAGCCCCAGGCTCTAACCCCAGGCCCTTTCTCCCTAGAGACATTCCAAACTTCACTGATTGAGATCAAAAAATGCCGTGCCCATTACTTGTCCTGACTTTCCCCTCCATGCTGACTGCCCGAGTCATGATTTTCACTTAATGCCACAGTCCTACTTGTCCATGGCCTCTAATATTATAACAAAGAACTCTTGTCCCTCATGTTAATCAAGAAACACCAATTGAACAAGAGTTTCATTTCAGAGAATTACCATCAAGGCGTGATCTCCTAAGTCTCCTTTCTTAAAGAAAGGAAAAACCATTCTGTCATTGCTGCATTAGCCACAGTCCCAATTTTCTGAGCAGTGCTCAGTAGTCTTTTCTCAGTCTTGAGCACTCTTTGCACTAATTCTTATAGTCCATAATTGATTCATTTGGCTAGACTCTAGCTAGTCCAGCCCCATTTGCATTCAGCAGAGGGGCAAATACAAGTCTGTTAACAGACAGTTAAGGTGCTCGCTTCCAATTCTCAAGGCCTTGGCTATTAAAGGGGGAGCCACCATAACCTGGCATTGGTGCTATCACCCCAGGTTACAATTTTTAAGTTGATGATGGACATAAATTCATTTGTCCATGATACTGTATACTAGTCCCATCAGCTCCCCTATTTCAGCCGAAAACTTTGCATGGGAACATTGATACGGACGATCCTAATTAGAAACTGAACCATTTCTCAAGGTCCTTCCTTGTACAGCTTTGCTTTACGTTAAGAGGGTGCTGATTATCTAAAGCCTCTTATACAATTGTGCAAAACTGCAGTTGCTCAAGCCCCATACCCTCACACCATAATGGGTGACAATAGAGGGTGCCACCAATAAGGCCCTTTGTTCTTGTCTTTTGGCTGTGCTGGGATCAAACTTAAGTCTTGTGCACGCTGGTAAAGCACTCTGCCACGGAGCTATATCACCACCTTGTGGCTGTTTAAGAGTAAGTCTCTTTACGGAGCCTGGGCTGACACTTAATACGGGCATTGTCACCGCTTCTGCCTGTTTTTATGTGCACAGCTGCATTTGTCCTTATTCCTGAGCACTGGATAAAGAAACCAAACTCAGTCATTTATTTAACAAGACCTTTGAACTCAGATTCAAACTGTTTTTGTTTAGAATTTCCGGGCTGATCAGGAACGTACGATATAGCCCAGGCTGGCCTTGAGCTCAGGATCAAGCCTTTATTTCACAAGTACTGGCATAACTGGCATCCACCGCCATGCCCTGCAGTCTCCCAGACTGTGAATGTGCATACTTCATTTAGCTATAGTAGTATGCCTTGGGTAATAACCTTAACAACCAGTTTTATTGCAGCAAGAGGTGCCTAGTACTTATGATCCTTAATACAGTAAATGTACACAGTGTTAATTGCCTCATAGATATTATGTCCACAGTTGTGCCTTTTAGATCTCAACTCCTGTACATATCAAAGCAAAGAGGCTCACTAACACTATAGTCTCTTTCTTGAAACTATAAAAATGATTCCAATATTGTTAATGGTCCTTCATTTAATGGAAACTATGTAGGGGCTGTTGATGTAAAGCCTTTGTCTCAGCCTGCTAATGCACATAATGATAATTTCAGAAGGATCAGTTTTAGCCTCATTTTGAGGTACCGCAGTAGTGGCGACCTATAAGGTCCCATGTTGTGGCTTGCTAATAACGTCTGATTGCATTTGCTCTTTTCTGTTGGCTACAGAAGGACATCACTGGCCACCCTTATGCATTCCCTTTCACCAGGGAATGCACATTGCCGAAGATTCTCATGTTTGAACAGTCAAAGTGTAAAACTATGATGGTCACAACCATGTACCTTGAGTACAACTGCGCATGACTCCTTCCACTTGAATAAGATCCTACTCTCAGACCCTTTTGCAGTACAGCAAGGGTCACTAATCTCTTGGCTTCTCCGTCTTCCTAGACACTGAGTCAGGATCTCTCCTCTCCTTTCCACTGCCTTTGATTTCCAGCAGTGACCATTACTTTAAGGTCTTAATATTTGTGGAAAGGATGTGGTTTTAATAAACCACACTGTGTCCCTTGAACATTAATGTACACAAAAGGGACATGATTCATTCATTTTAATAAGAATATTTGGCCAGTTAATGTGCAAAATTGCACTTCTCCACGACCTTATTACTTTGAGGACCATTGTGTCTCTTTTGCACTATTGCAAGGTCCCTGCTAGGGGACCATTAAAATACAGTGGAAATTTTCCTTTGTCAGTAGACAAAGTCAGATTCTTTCACCTTTCATTTGCAGTACGGCAGGGTATGCTGATCAACCAAGGCTGCCTTCTTCTGGACTGTCAGTATGTATTATATGTTGTATGTATGTATATGCGTTTCCTCCTGCTCTGTGCACTAGAAAAGGATCCCACTCACTCCTTATAACTTTTAGGAGGAAGTGGAAAGTTCACATGCACAGTGGCTAAGCACTTCTTGTATCAGAAACCCTATACCCTCTTCCTCTGCTTTAAAGCAGAAAGAGGTTTTCCCACTGTGCCTTTCATTTGGACTTCAGTGTGCATTAACGCAGTTGTCCATCCTTACCTTTGGAGTAGGATTTTACATCCTTGTACTCCTTTGACATCAGAGGCACATTAATTATTTTTTGAGCACTTCTCTCTTACGTATATTAATATGTACGCTTACACCTATGGACCTGTGTAGCGCAAAAGGTTCCTACGTTTCTACCTTTTGACTGGGGCTGCTGAGGAGTGATAACTGCTTATAACCTCAGCATCTGGATGACTGATTGCTGTGCAACCATGTCAAGAGTACCACTTATTAGTTGGTACTCCGTACTCTCTTTACATACCATTAAAGAGTACTGACCAACTGAGCCCCTGAGTTATTAATAAGTGTGCGTATTTGCAATTATGAATGCCTAGAATACTATGTTCTCATACCCCCTTTGCATCACCGCAGGGGCTGCTGATCCATCTAAAACATCTGGGACTGTTAATGAGCACAGTGGTTATGACCAACGGCTTATTCGGGGACTATTAACAGGCACAATGGCAGCTCTTGATGGTTTATTTTCTACTCTGACATGTTGAGCAAATCTCCTCCTCTAGTTTCCCCCTGGCATAATGAAGTAAAATACTGCAGTATGCCTATGTTTTGTACACCCAACAGTGGCCCATCTTTCCATCCCTTTTGCATTGCTCCAGTACACAAAACCCCAAATAGCCACGATCTCATACTTTTTTGCAGTCATCCCTCTGCCCAGCCCCTAGTTTGTCCATGGACCACTCTTATGGACTACTAATTCTCACAATGCAATGTTGAAGACCTTGGCACCCTTTTCCCAGTTCCATCACCCTGTCCCGTCTGCCTCTTTGTTGAGCCCTTCTCCTGACTTAAAGTCAACAATCCCAGACGTCATCAGCTTACCCGCTGCACATGGCTGCATTGTTTCAGTTGCCCTCTGCTTGGTCCTCCCTGTTGAACGGAAACAACTCCACCACACTACACTGTCAATTACCTGTGTGTCATTAATGAACACAGCACCGATGGACGGTCCCACTTTTCAGCCCATGTGTCCCAGAGCTCCCTGCAACTTTGATGTATTTGTACATGTAAAATTTCAAAAGCGGGCCAAAGCTAGGTGGATGAAGCAACACTCTTCAGCCTGCATTTCTTAATTACTCCAATTCCAATTGCTGGCATATTCTAGGGCCAGGAATCATTCCTGCCCACCTTTATTAATGCTTTATTGTTCAAAAAAATATTTCAGGCAACTTGCTCAGGGAGCTGGATTGCCACCTTTTATTTGGGGCTTTCCTTATACATTATCAACTGAAAATTGTCTCCCAAAGAAGGAGGATGAGCTAGTACTTTCTTTACACCCTTCCTCCAGGAGCTGACCGCCTGCTTAACAAACTCAACTTGTTTCTCTTGGTATATTGCTACGTACAGTGCCAACTGCCAGAAAAGTTTGTACAGTGCCAACTGCCAGAAAAGTTATTGATAGTTTATGCCTTTAAGAAAGGCCTCTGGCTTGCCAGGTGGAATTGATTCTGTGATCATTAGCTTTTCTGTAGTAAAAATATCTTCCTTCTACTATATATCTGATGACCAAGCAGTGTCTCTCATTTTACTGAGGGTGGCGAGTCTGTGGAGAAACCACTGTAACTGTTATTCCAATACCGTCAAAGTGCTTGTAGAATGGCGTTCTTAAGGCCAGGATGTATGTTTGGTCTGAACTACCAGTTTAAATACAAAAGTCAATCTTTGTGTGGCCTTAGTATCATTGCCTTTAAGGAACATGACCAAACATTTTAATATTTAAATTTGGCCTGACATTGAACGCTAGCCCCTACTGACTTTAAGAAGGTGGTTGCGAAAGGATTAAGTGAGAGGGCATGTCAAGTTGTCTTTGAGTAGGCCACCATGTGATTAATTCACTCTATCTGCCATTAAATTTGGGCAATGATTTGAAGTAGCTTGGAAAAAAAAGCCACCCTAAAGTGGGAACTTAAATAAAATGATGGAGCCTGTTTCCCCAGTTTACATTTTAATATATATATATATATGCCTAGACCTAATCATTCTTGAGAGTACACTTCAAAGAGATCCGCCTATTAAGAAAATATCTGTCTCTATTGGCGCCGAGTATTTAAGCTTTCTGGTTTTCATTCTTTAATTATTGTGCATGAATGAGTGTGTGTGTGTGTGTGTGTGTGTTTGCATGTGCACTTGAGTATCTGTACTCGTGCATTCGCATTGGTGACCAGAGAGCAATGGGAACTGGTTCTACCTTGTGGGTCCCTGGAGATAAAAACTCAGATCGTCAGGTTTCGCAGCAAGTGCCTTCACTCTCTGAGCCATCTTGCCAGCCCGCTCCTGGGTACTGAATGTGACATTGCTGATGAAACCACAGTTCTTCAAAGTTTCTGAAAAAAAAAATACCATTTTTCTGAGAAGGATGTCAAGAAATCGACCCAGTTCAGGATACAGGTTGAGCTTCAGCCCTTCAGATGGCTACAGAAGACTCTGGAATACGGTAAGTAACTACTTTGTAGCTACTAGGCAAACTTTCCAATTCGATTTTTCATGTACGTGCCAGCCACTGAAAAGTCAGTGACTAAGTTCCTCTCAACTTCTACACAATGCATCTGTATGCCAATGAAATTGTAGAGTTGATATTGTGTGGCCAGCCCTATGCCTGGGAACACTGAATGAGAAGCAATCCTATTTTACATAATTTCTTCTCGATGCTTGTGTTGTTGAAGACTTAATGTAAAATCAACACTGGCAATCGTTTTAGGAAATGATGGTCAAATATTGTCTAGTGAATTCTAAGTATTTTAGAAAGTCTACTGGGCTTGCAAGGTCGTGACTTCTTCTTAAAGAGGAAAAGTGTGCTTACATTGCACCCTTGGTCCAGATTACTTGTGCCATCTGGGTAGCCCAGTTGGTTGATTCGAATGCCATCTGCTCTTGCCTTTTGGGGGCATATAAAGATATTAAGAGTACAGGACCCAGCCATTATACTTGGCAATATGCCAAGGATGGCAAGGGCCAGTCACTGAGTCCCAGAAGCCTGAGCTTGGGAATTGAGTGTAAGAATTGGGAATATAAATTTGATAATTTGGCTTTTTCAACCATTTTTACTACATTTCTTCCCCAGAACAGATGACAATGGCTCATACAGATCAAAAGTGACTTTTTTAAATTTACAATCTTTACCTTTTACCCAAAGGGCAATGGAGAAGCCTCATCTACTTTATGCTGTGGTTTTTGCACCCTCCTCTCATTTTCCTTTTTAAAATTAATTCTTTTATTATTGGTATTTTTTCTTTTGAGACAGGATTTCTTTCTCTGTGTAGCCTTGGTTGTCCTGGAGCTTTAGAACTCAAAGCTGGCTTCAAACTCAAAGAGATCTGCCTGCCTCTGCCTACGAAGTGGTGCCTAGCTATGGAGAGCTGCCTAAGAGAACTGCCCCTGAGTTGCTTTGGGGAAAATGAAGCGCTTCCTGGAGCGCTGCCTGGAGCGCTGGGATTAAAGGTGTGTGCCAGCGCTCCCCAGGCCCTCCCGTGTTTCTTCAAGGGTACTTTAAGTTAAAAAAACATACTTATTTCTGGAAGCAGAACAAGGTCCAGCTGGAAAAACATTCTTGCCCAGAACACATTTTGCATTTGTTTTGCCCTTGGGCATGCAAATGATCTTCAGTATCATTTTAATTCCGCTAAAAATTCCTTCCTTCTCGCCTTTTCCCACATTCCTAGGTCAGCACCTAGGGATAAATGCAGAGGTATTGAATCCTTTGGGAAAGAAAACCGTGCCATTGTTTTTCAAATTCAAGTACAAGTAATGCTGCAGTCGGAAACACCTTTTCAAGGAACAAAGTTTCCTGAGAGTATAAAGAATGTGTCTGCCTTAACCTTAGCACCACCGACTGCCTGTGCAGACCATCTGAACCCATCACCCACACCCAGGCTTGCCTAGGCACCCAGTTCTTGCAACCTGCCCCCTCTGGACCTAAATAGAGGTTAGAACTCAAGAGTTCAGACAATGGCCTAAAGGAAGCTAGTGCTGCCGGTATTCACCATCCAAACCACCGTCACCAATGACCATACCCTTTTCAAAAGAGATCGGGTTGTGCAGCAGGCAGCTCTTTGATAGCAACCTGGTCCCACATGACCCCAGTGGCACTATAAAGTACCCATGAACCACACCTGCATTAAACCGTGTGAGTGGAAGTAGTGGATTTTGCCTGCTGATTGTGCAAAACCCTGTGCCGGAAGCAGACCAGGCCTCTGCATATGCCCTGCCCTATAATGTAGCCACTGCCCAGCCTGCATCCTGCCCTCCCAGTCCAAGGAGCCCGTTCTGCCTGTCTTTTGCCCTTAGTCCACCGGCTCACTCCTGGGGAAGATCTGTGTAGTCATCAGGGAACTTCGTTACTTAAGTTTTTAAAAAAGGAAAAGAAACTGTCTCGAAAAACCAAAAAAAAAAAAAAAAAAAAAAAAAGGAAAAGAAAAGTCTTTGAAATGTGGACATGTTTTTCAATTTCAAAAACTTTTTTTCTCTTCACAAGTTTTAGAACTTGGAATCCATGAGAACATCCTCGATTCTCTAACCAAGTTCTTACCATCCCAATTCAAGAAACACTGGTCTGTGCATATGGGTATTGTAATCAAATTATCTTTTGGCACCATGGTATAACTATCATTGGAACTTGTTTTCCAGGGATGAATTTGGAGTTGCTTCTGTGCCTCAATTGAAGAAGGATGGCCTGGTTTTAGAAGAATGGATTCTAGACAGCATCCAAAGGTGAGTATAAGGTAGAGTTGATAACCTGGCTGATTGAGCTATATATAATCTGTCTTTAAGGGTCTAATGTGTCAGGTTATAATTCCTAGATATTTTGTTGTTTTCTTTTATCATTTGGGTTTTTCTCAACAGTTCTTATAGTCTAATAAAAGCCTTGTCTTTCTTCACAGGGATAATTCTGGCAGACGTCAAGGACTGCCAGCAGCTGATACAGGCTTCATTCAAATCCAGCAGCCCTCTCGTTTCGAGACTCTGGACACGCTCTAGCTAACCTGAGCAAACAACATGCAGGCCACATGAAGAAAAGGGTACTTGGGAGAAGTTTCTATTCTTGGGGTCCTGTCTGTTTTAAGGCTTTAGTTTTCTGCAGCCTTTTCTTGTAAAAGCAGAACCAGCCATTCCTACACCATTTTCTCCTTGCTTATAAACGTACATTTTTAAACTTCTGCCATGTATTGGGTCTGTTTCCTTTATACTGAGATCGTGTATTTGATCTGTTTCCTCTATACTGATATGAGCTCCACTGAGGTGGAAAGGGTAGTATGCGTATTCGATCTCCATTTCATGAGAAGAGTGAGAGAGGCAAATCAATAAAGCACACCTCTTCTCATTGCATAGTCACCAGTGAGACCCTTGCCTTGTGATTAGGCCTTGAAATGGTTCCCACCTTTCTAAGACAAACTTGAATCTGTTCTGCTTTGAACCGCTTAAAAGGTAACGCATCAGAGGAACGACAGCCTGTGAAGGCTAGTTTCTGGTACTCTGGCCTTTAGCGTTTGACACAAGGACATTTTGTGGTTGCTCTGATTATCCTTGAGCTCTGCAGATGCAATGCTGCATCAGGTGCTAGAGACGCACCATAAGGATGGAGCAAACTACGTTTCTATTCATTTTGGCGGTGTTCCAGCATGGTATTACTTAAAGCACCAGTTAAAAGAGGGAGATGCCCCACAACCAGGTGACAACAGGCACTTTGATTAATATAGACCACTGTTTGCTCTTTCAGAGGTCCTGAGTTCAACGCCCAGCAAGCACGTGGTGGCTCACAACCATCTCTAATGAGCTGGCGCCCTCTCCTGGCTTGTGGGCACACATGCAGGCAGAACTGTATACATAATAAATCTTAAAAAAAAAAAACACACGGGGAGCTGCAATGAGAGCTGGCGCCCTCTTCTGGCCTGTAGGCAGAACTGTATACATACCTAAAAACACACACACAAGGGAGCTGGAGAGATGGCTAGCTCAGCAGTTAAAAGCGCTGTCTGTTCTTCCAAAGGTCCTGATGCCCTCTTCTGGTCTGCAGGCATACAAGCAGGCAGAGCACTATACATAATAAATAAGTCTTTAAAAATAAAATACACACACACACACACACACACACCATTATCAAAGAAGTCAGAGGCACATGTGGAGGATTTTTACAGATCATAAAAGGCTTCATAGCCTAATCCTTCCACTGGTTTCAACTCTAGTTTGCTTAGCCCTTTTATCCCTAGCGTTATTTGATTATAAAATATACAAGTGCTTAAACATCCCCAGCATATTTGATTATAATATACAAGTGCTTAAACAATCTGTAAGGATTACTCATGGCTAGACACCAGAGAATAAAGAGCTCAGATGGGACAATTCTCATGTCACTAAGTTGATAGGCATAACATAAAGATATATATATCACCACCAACAAAAAGTCTATATGATTAACAGAACTGCTGAATACCACATAAGGACGCACATTTCCCGATGGACTTGACTTCAGTAATTTGGTTTTTCTTTCACCTTTTTTCCAGATCTTTCCCCAGAAGTATGGACTTGTTGCCTTGTGGTGCTGGCGACCTATTCCCTTTGACGACCCCTAGGTGGAGATGGGGCATGAGGGTCCTCCAGGGGAATAACTCACCAGCACTGGGCAACAGTCCTAGCCAGGAGAATTGGGGGAGACACTTCGCTGAACCCAGCAAGGAAGATAAAGAGTCAAAGACAGTCACCCAACATCAAAATAGGTAAGTTTTCTGGAACAGTGTAATAAGTAATGTTAATTTTGTTTTCCATTGTAATCAGCCTTTTATTTGTATGAGTGATCTGTCTGCATGTACACTTGCACGCCACAAGAGGGCATCGGATCCCATTATAGTATAAATGGTTGTGAGCCACCATGCGGTTGCTGAGAATTGAATCCTAATGCTAGGTGTGAAAATAATTTTAATTTTGATCTTGTTTTCCATTGTAGCTAAGACTTTGACTTGTTATGTTTTATTTTGTTTGAATTTTTTTTAATAATGCATGAGTGCTCTGTTTGCATGTACACTTCATGCCAGAAGAGGGCATCAGATGCTGTTATATAAGATGGTTGTGAGCCACTGTGTGTTTGCTGGAAAGTGAGCTCAGGACCTGGAAGGCAGTCAGTGCTCTTAACTGCGTAGCCATCTCTCCAGTCCCATACTCGAGTTATAATTATCATTTGCTAAGAACAGCTTCCTGACTACCAGGGTAGCATCTCGCTGTGACGCTGTGAAAGTGGGGTGTGTAGGGTAAACCCGCACGGTGTACTAGGGAACTGTAACTCAGCTGTGCAAATGGTTCTTTCTTCTAGGAGAAAAGCTGCCACAGCCCTGGCAGTTCTCAAAGCCACCCTGGAAGCTCTGTAGGAGAACTTAACCAGCTGTTTCCACACTGCAAGATTCACTGTGCTTCCAGTGAGTAGCTTCTCTTTTTATGCTAACGTGAATGATAATGAATGGCTCTGGCTACAAGTGGAAACCTAGCTGAAAATGATCCAGAAGCATCTATTATCAGGCAGAATTTAAAGAACCAGCACCCTCTATGTCTTCTTTCCTGACATTCACCCAGCTTCTTTTGTTCTTTGTAGTTCAGTAGACCAAATGGTCATCCTTACCAAAGCTGGGCCTTCAGCAGGATCGCGAAATGGGAACACATGAAAGGAAGCCAGCGTTATAACCCAAGGACCAACATGCCTGCATCTTTTTTTTATTTATTTATTTATTATGTATACAACATTCTGCCTCGATGTATGCCTGCACGCCAGAGCAGGGCGCCAGATCTCAGTACAGATGGTTGTGAACCACCATGTGGTTGCTGGGAATTGAACTCAGGACCTCTGGAAGAGCAGCCAGTACTCTTAACCTCTGAGCCATCTCTCCAGCCCCCATGCCTGCATCTTAAAGCAACAGAATGAAGTAAGTTGCCAGCATTGCAGTCCTCTGGGGGTTTGCATTTGCTGGAAGGCGGTGCCGTGTGGAGTGTGGTGGTGGTCTAATGCCATGGTGTGAAGTTGGGCCAAATACATGCTGGAAGAGGACCAGGCTTCCACACTGGCAACTGGGCTCCTAGCAGCAACTCCAACAATAGCCTGCTCACCAGTTGCATCATAGAGAAATGTGGCCTCCCGCTGTCTTTGGATTGGTGCTCTGCCATTCATTCTCAGCCGTTTGCCTACTGGAAAGTCTTAAATAGTTTGTTTCCGCTGAAAGGATTTGTTTCTGTGACAATTGTACATTTAAGGTTTAGTGTTAAAAAAAAAAAAAACCTAAATCCTGAAGCAGCCATTATAAAGGATGTAAAAAACCAAACCCGTTTTCTTTTTTTTTTCCAAGCCTGTTTTCTTAAAGAAACGGGGAAAGTGAGGCTGACAATTAAAATACGCAGCCACCTGTGGCATTTGGCGCTTATGGAAATTAGGGAAACCATGTAATAGAATGTTAAGAGGTGTTCATTCTCTGTTTAAATTGGCTACTCTTTGGTTGTATGACTTTTGCCAATTTAGTCCCCTGTAAGACTTGTCTATTTAAAAGGTCAAATGAAATCGTGAATGGAAAGGGCTTAATATAATGCCTGGCAAGTGAAATGGACACCCTGGAGAATAAAGTCAACGGGCACTGCGTGCAAACACCCAGTAGTGCCTGAAGGGATCCCTAAGCATTAGAGCCTCTGCCTTAGAGTAGGGGATTATGATGTACTATTACTGGGGTTAACATAGGTAGTACTGGTACACGAATCACTTACTGTACTAATGACACTTTTCCCTTCCTTCCCTGTCTGCTTTTCTTTTTACCCTCTTGTTGAACTTTGCTTACTTCTTTCAATTGTAAGTGTGTACTGTGTTGGGTGTCTATTTCTTAATTGTTTTATACATCTATTTCTTCCTTTGTGTGTCTCATTCTTTGATGTATTCGTTTCTTCCCTTGATTTGTGTGTCTTTTTTCCTAGCCTTGTGCGTCTTTCTTGCTTTTTCTTTGATGTATCTATTGATGTGTCTATTTCTTCCTCACCTTGTATGTCTTTCTTCTTCGCCTTGTGTGTCTTTCTTTCTTTCTTTCTTTCTTCCTTCCTTCCTTTCTTCCTTTCTTGCTTTGCATGTTTTCCTCCCTTGCTTTGTTGTATGTCTTTCTTCCTCGCCTTGTATGTCTGTCTTTCTTTCTTTCTTTCTTCCTTCCTTTCTTGCCGTGTATGTTTTTCTCCCTTGCTTTGTTGTATTTCTTTCTCCCTTGCTTTGTTGTATGTCTTTCTTCCTCGCCTTGTATGTCTGTCTTTCTTCCTTCCTTCCTTCCTTCCTTCCTTTCTTCCTTTCTTGCCGTGTATGTTTTTCTCCCTTGCTTTGTTGTATGTCTTTCTTCCTCGCCTTGTATGTCTTTCTTCCTTCCTTCCTTCCTTCCTTCCTTCTTTTCTTCCTTTCTTGCCGTGTATGTTTTTCTCCCTTGCTTTGTTGTATGTCTTTCTTCCTCGCCTTGTATGTTTTTCTTCCTTCCTTGCTTTGATGTCTATGTCAAGTGTCTTTTACTCCTTCTCTGTGTACAGTCTATCTTACCTATTGCTGTGTTTCTCTACTAATTTCTTCCTAGCAGAGCTTTGTGCTTTGTCTTATTTTCTCCTCTCCTCTCTGTGATTTGTGCCTTGTCTTGGCTAGATGTGGCTCTGTTTTTTCTATCTGGTTGCTGTTTCTCATAACTCTTCTTTTACTCTTTCTGCCTTTCACGACTCTCCTTTGGGTCACATGTTGCTTGCAATCCTCTCCTTTCCTTGTGTTCACCTCACTTGCTTTTTTCTGTGTGATCTGCTTGTCAGTCCTTTGACTCAACATTCATATTTTCCTTTCTGCTGTTTCTATCCTTAGCACATGAGTCTCTTTACTACATCTCCTTTTTCCTTCTTTGCAGCTGTGTCTCTGCTATTTGTGATTTCTGATCTCAGCATTACTCTAGTGTTTGTTTCTTTATTTCCCTTCTACTTTCTCCCCTTGCTACTCACTTTGAGAATGCCAGTCTTTTTACGAGTTTGTCTCCCTCTTCCTCTAATCCTCTTGGATATTTCTGTGTGTGTGTGTGTGTGTGTGTGTGTGTGTGTGTGTGTGTGTGACAGAGGGTCTTCCTAGCCTGCGGAATATCACCAGTGGAGCTGTTCTTCAAGCCCTGCGGAATAATCTAAGAGAAAATCCAGCGCTTTGGTCAGGACTGAAGTAGACCTGAAAGGAACATGTAAAGACCCAAAGTGGAAGACAGACTTAAGGACCAAGATACAGAAGGCCTGTCTGAGCTGGCTGGAAAGTTTGAGTCTCAAGTTGGATGGACAGAATGCTGACAACCCATAGAAGAAGGGCTGTTTCTACAGGACCCATGTGAAGTCGACGAACTGAGACCTGCACCTGAGCTAAGTCTAAACCTAAGATCTAAGGACTCAAGCCTATATGGACTATAAGTTGGAGGCCTGTGGCCTAGAACTCTGGGGGGGGGGGGGGTTAAAACCCCAAGACTAAGGGAAATCTGAAGATGAGACCCTCCCAACTTTTATACTGCTCCCCCCCCCACGGACGTTTTCAGTACTCGCTTCTCAGATTTCCATTCATGCCAGTTTTACTTGATGTACTTTTCAATAATGTCATTTACCATAAAGGAACAAGCTTTTAGGTTGACAGCATTGTGCAGGGGTTGATCTTTAGTCTGTTTTAAACCTGATTTTAGCCATTTCTTAAAGTTTTGATGTTTTAAAACTTCCATTTCTCTTCATGTCTGCTCCTCTTGCGAGAGAGAGAGAGAGAGAGAGAGAACAAAATCCAGCCAGTGTTATCTAGTGTGACTTTTGATATTTCCCTAGCAGCCGTACAGATACTGTACTTCAATCCACCCTAACTCTGCAGCCTTAGGCTATGAGAAAGGAAAGCACCAGACTGTTAGGGGAAAACAGTAGCAGGCTATCTAGAGAAAATATGAAGATATGCTCCAGACCAATGAGAAGAATTAGACGAGCAATATGCAAATGTGCCAACCTGAGAAGCACCAGCCAACATCAGCTTCCTTCTTTGGGCTTAGGTGAGCAGGGTATGGAATTTCTAATAATGATAACAGTGATTAGATTTGGGACAGACCGAGGTCCGAACTAACTCCCTGTTCATGGTAGTGGCCAAGGAATTTTGGTGTATTCACTAAGTCCTGGGTTTAACACCCACCTTTAGGATTAATGATGAAAGAATTTAGGACTATTTAATAGGTTTCATGCTTCTGGTTCCCCCTATCCCCCTTTAAGAGGGAACTTGACTTTAATGACTGATACAACACAGGAGAAAAAAAGTGACATGCTCATAGCACATGGGCAACCACACATAGTTAACATTTGAAAATGCAATTTGAGTTTTTCCTGGAAGGAGTCAAGGACTGTAAATACCCGAGGCTTTGTGGGCCATTGGTCTTAGTTGCTCATTCTTTTAAAAAGAAAAGAAACCTTTTCAGAAGGTAAAAATCCCTCACTGGCCCATTGCTTTGGACTTGACCAAGCCCTGATCTAAACACCAGGGACTATGTCTGAATAACACAACTTATGCCTATCTTTGCGCTGAGTACTAAGGATGTGCTGCTTAATTATGGTCACTTCCAGCTAACATGAAGACATAGAAATATGTTTTATAAACCACAAAGCACACTAAAGCTTCTATGTCAGTGCTGAATGCATGCGTCTTACCTAGTGCGTGCATTCTCTGGACACAATGATTGCTGCAGGAATAACAAGTCAAAATATGTTTAGGGAAAAGAATTATATAACGATGGCTTGAATGAATGAAGGATAATCCATACTTCAGGCCAATGTGTTTCTATTGCATTGGTGATTTTCAGTATGCCAGGTAGCAGAAAACACATGGAAAGTGACTTTAAACTACAAAATATGCCCCAAGTATAAGTGACTCCCCTATTGGGATCACCTTATAACTTGCAAAACACCAAGCTCGGCACCAGGGATAACAAAACTAAAAGTTAAGAAAGAGCACAGTAAAGTGCTTGGTAAACTATAAAGCACTGCACAGCTAGCAATAGCTTCCTGTGCACAAATGAATGAGTACTAACTAACTCCTGTGTGTCAGGTATTATGTTAGGTACATAAAATACAGGATGAATTGTCTTGACTAACTCTGCCATGAAATAGAATGTTTCCATTCTATACTGCTTAATTTACAAGGTATGAGATCACAGTTAATTTAATCAGTCAAGACTTTAGTGATGAGGGCCAGCTAACACAAGAACATTTATTTGCCCTATAAAATACTACAGAAGTGTAGGACATTCCATATTTCCTATAGAAATAAAACTGCCTACATAATAGGCACAGGCTCTAAGAAATTCTCATTGTCTTCTTGGCTTACACTGAGAAGAATGGGACAAATAGTTAACCAGCTGGGTGTGGTAGCATATGCTCTGACTTCAGGCTGCTGAAACAGCAGGACCATTTGAACCCAGAACCTTGGGACACAGTGAGAGAAATCTTGGTAAACCAAGATGTTAAATGCCTGTTGAATGAATATACCAAGATTGATTGCCTATATATGGTATATTCTTTTTTAAAATGATTTAAACAGCAAAATGATTTAAACAGTGTTCTGCCTGCACGCCAGAAGAGTGCGCCAGATCTCTTGGTAGATGGTTGTGAGCCACCATGTGGTTGCTGGGAAGTAAACTCGATTTCTGGAAGAGCAACCAGTGCTCTTAACCTCTGAACTATCTCCCTAGCCCTCGGTATATTCTCTTTTATGGGCACTGGAGAGATACACAGACTTAAATTTATTTCATTTGTGCCCAAGGCTGAGAGTAATATGTATGTTGGTATTTTATGAACTTTGGGGTATCATATAAATGTACCAAATATTTACTTATTTGGTACCAATTTCCCAGCTTTTAGAATTCTGTCACGTTTGTCTGAATGTGCAAATAAAGCAAAGAAATTACTGTTGAACACTGAATATATGAGACAGTCGTCAGTGGATGAATGCAAGATTGAATGGCAATCATTTATTACAAAACAATGCCCTTGCTAGGCATTGAGATGCAAAGACCAAGCAGCATCCTTAGTGTCCCCTATAACTAAAGAAATTATGTGCAAGACTAATTTATAACTTGTAAGTTGCCATACATGCCCAGTAGTCAATAATTATTTGCTTTTATCCCCAGACACTGGGAATAGAAAAATTCATTACCATTATTATTACCCACAACATCATTGCCCACAACAGAGATCTGTGTGGAGCTTTATGAAGTCTGCAGTTCTATAAAGCTAGGACCTAGCTGTTGGCTTTGTATGTGACTAGTGACAACTTTCTGGGTTTCCTCATGGCTAAAGCTTCTTCAGAATGCTTGTCACCTAATACTTGCATCTTACTGTGCTGCATGCTGTGCAAACAAAGATTTGCTTTCTCTCACAAAGCATGCCCAGCATGTCTGAGAGCTAGGCCAGAACTGCTCTTGACTTCAATGATGAAATGAAAACAGAAAAAAATGGATTTGTATAAGGTGCTGTGCTAAGTAAATATTGAGCTAAGTGGACTGTCCTGTCCAGTGTCAGGTAGTTCCACAGCATGGACGTCAGGGAACAGAAGGACAGGAAGGGATCAGAGCATCAGATGCTACTACAATACTTAGTGTGGTCCAGAACCTCACAAAATAGAAGTACAATCTGAGGGTCAAGCACCCAGAGCATGAGCTCAGGCTGCTTCTAGTTGCTGAATCTCCAGTCACAGCTTCTGAGGTGCTGCTGAGATTCCAGATGTGTGTCCCCATGCCCAGCCTGTGGAACCTATCTCATTACTGAGTAAATACTATTTTAGTGCCTGACTGCTTGCAGTCGCTATGCTTGATGGATTAGTTCAATAGGTAGGGTCTTGAAGACCCACTGACTTGACCTAGAGATTTGAAAATCAAATGAAGGCCAAGATTCATTCAACATAAAATGAAGATGTCCCTAGTTAAGGACATCCCTAACTAAGACGTCCCTCCAAAGGTCATTTACTCACTGGCCTACTTTAAAGCCAGAATAAGGGGACTTAAAGTCTGACCTTAGCTCAGAGTGCAAAAGACGCTACTGGATGCTAAATGAAACACATCTGCTCCAAGAGGCACTTAGTGTGACTTACGGATGCCCTGAAAAGCAGACTGGTGTTCCTTATTAAATAGAAATATTAGCTCAAGCACTCTCTAGACTGAAAGGCACTGGCTTTTTAATTGACTCAGGTTAGACCACAGGAAGAATGTTACTATTCATTCATTTTCTTCATTCATTCATTCATCTGTTCTACAAACATTTGCATATAATTCTCAGGCCTTCCTTGTTTGGCTCCTGAGATGTGAAAGACAGAAACCAATAGGCACACCTTCCCCAGGACTGCTGAACACTGGGGACTGCTGCTTAGGTAGTGGCAAGACTCAGTCCCCAAGTAACATGCAGTTAAAGTCCCCACCTTCATCTCTCTGGCCACTACATGAACAGGAAGCTGGGTTTTGTAGTAAGCCTGCTCCTAAAGTTGCAACCCTTGTGCTCAAAGAAACGCTTCGATATTCTAGCTCATGACTTATTTAATCTATGACTGTGACCATTACTGATCAGAAGGGATGACAGTCACTTAGCTCCCCAACTTCTGTCTCCTTAGGATTATCCCTGGGGGAAACAACCCATTCTTGAGCTGCAGCAGGCTTTGAAATACATTTGCAAATTTTGTCTGCCTGAATGGGTCTCTTTCATAGAATCAGATAGCATACAGTAATTTAAAAAATGTTCTCCTTACTGCAAAAAAAAATAAATAAATAAAAATAAAAAAACCCAAAAAACTACTTAAGGGGCTTGCTATGGTAAATAATGCCAGTGGATGAAAATAACCTCAAGTTTTAACATGCTTGCATAAAATTTGAGAATAAGAGAATTGGAAACAATCAGAAAATTGGAGGAAAGAAAGACTATCAAAAAAAACTTGAAAAAATGCCTTCTTTAAGGAGGGTTGATGGTGCTTTGACCTCTTCTATTTTTTTTCACTCACAGAGGGTGGGACAGGAGGCAGAGTGAAGGAAAAGGTCAAGCCTGTGTCCGCAGAGCAGCTTACCTTTGTTCTCAATGGGTCTTGAGAACATCACTGCGGTCTGGAACTAAATTGGGACCGCCTTTTCTTTACTTGAATGCAGTTCCAATAACTAAAAAGTATTGATAAAGTTTGCTAAATGTTTCCAAAAATATATTTTCATCTAAATGGCTATCAGCTAAGCCTTGTGTTACATAGGAATGAGATACATTAATCAATGTGACCTCTATATCCAAGTTGCCTTGAAACTGAAGTCACAATTTGCTATAAAGGGGGCTTATTTATTATAACCCCTACATACTCTTAAAGTATCTAAACTGTACTTTGCTTGGCAAGCCAATGTTGCCATCCACAAATGGAGAAGGAAAGAGAAAAAGGAAAGACTAGGTGGAGCCAGGTTGAAGAGGTCTGGGAGTTCAACTTCTTTAAATTTTCTTTAAAACTAAGTTGGGCCAACAGACACAGCTGAAGTGCAACTGAGGTCAGGTTTTAACTTGTGGGATTGGCTGCACCCAGTAACATCCCTTTGTATGGGTAGGAATGGGGCTACAATTCTGGAAAGTGCACAGGAAAAAGTAACTAAAAGCCTTCCTTCCACAGTTTCTGCCATCAGTATGACTACCGATTAAGCAACCATAAGAGCACTTTATCATCATCTGCTTTGGTCGCATAAATGAACTTTGTAAACAAATCTAAAGACAGCGGCATCACCTCCCCAACCAACTGCGAACGAACTCTATACCGAAGCACGTGGAAGACACTTGGACTCGTGGAATGCAGAACTTCTTTGTTTGACTCTTGGGTGTTTTAAAGACTAGAAAAATGCTGCTTAGCATGCATGACCACCATAAGACAATCTAAAGTCATCTCTGTCACAATGAGTCAGGGTGGGTGGATGGGTGGGTGGGTGGGTGGGTGGGGGGAGCTTTATGTCAAATAAAATGTTTTGTTTTGAAAACATTGTGCTTGTATATGACAGTTTCTTCCCTTTAAATTTAGATAGTTAGTATTTTATGTATATGAATGCTTTGCATGTCTAGACATCCAATGTGCGAGTTATGCCCTTGGAGGCCACAAGAGGCTGTTGTATCCCAAGGAACTGGACTTAGAGTTGCCACCTTGTGAGTAGTAGGACTATAACCTGGTTTCTCCAGAAGAACAATTTAGTGCTCTTAACTGCTGAAGCATCTTTTCACCACTACCACTCCTGCCCCCCCCCCATTTTTTTCAAAGATACGTTTTCACATAGCCAAGTCTAGCTAGCCTCCAAGTCCAAAGTAGCCAGAAAAATCTCCCTAGCATTACAGGATTGCCCCACCAAGCCTGTTTTCCATGTCAGTTTTTAACTTAATGACCTTGGTTTTAGTCCCTTACACAATGGGTCTCACTGTGTAGCCCTGGATACCTGGCTGGCCTGGAATCCGTGTAAACCATGCTGGCCTCAAATCCATAGAGATCCACCTGCCAGCACCCCAGGCCTGCACCTCCAGCCCTAGCCAGTTTTTTTTTTCTCTTTAATCACTGGTGGTGGGTGATTTGAGGTCCCATTTTGAGGGAAGTTCGAGGGAATAATACTAAAAACACAAATTCAATAAAATTGAGAAGTGAAACACTATTGAGGCTAAGGAGTAGGTGGGGGGAAGAAAGAATATCGGTAAATTGTGGAAATGGAATGGACTGCTGCTGGGGGGGAGGGGAGGCTGAGTAGAGGAAAGGGCCACTATGTTTCTAGGTCCTAAATGATGAAGTTGCCTCATACAAGAGGAGGTAAATCCTCAGAAAAGTTTGTACTGTAAGTAATTTAGAGTTGGACATGATCTCCCTGGCCATAGCTAACCTGTAGAAGTGCTCCAAGAAAATAGAGCTTTCCTTTCCATCCAATGGACCGGAGGCAACAATGTTTAACATGTTCGCCTGGTTCCTAATATCAGGAGCCAATGGAAACACAAACCCTGTCTCCAATCTGATGGGGAAGACAGGTAGACAGGTACTGCAAAGGAGCCTAGGTGAGGGGGGTGCAGGAGTCTGTGGTACCAGTGCAGTGCGGTATCGCTGGTACCACAACACCACGTTGTGGGGAGGACTGTGGATAGACTTTGCAACTTTGGGCTAGAAAAGCCATTGAGTACTGAGAGCTCAGTAGTCTGTTCTCTATAGGAACTTGGAAGATAACAATGCAAAGAGCAGTGCAGAAGATGGGGGCCTGGCTTGTGACAGAGACAATATTAAAGACTCTGGCAGGGCTGTTTGCTGTTTTGAATTAAGATCCCGTGGTTCTGGTTAGCTGGGGCTGAAGAGTCAGCTGTGATTAACCACCAGAACTACTAATCTGGAACCTTTACATTCTGTTCAGCTGGAGCTAAGAAATTAGTGGTGATTAAGAAGAGACCAGCGGGGACTGGAGAGATGGCTCAGTGGTTAAGAGCATTGCCTGCTCTTCCAAAGGTCCTGAGTTCAATTCCCAGCAACTACATGGTGGCTCACAACCATCTGTAAAGAGGTCTGGCGCCCTCTTCTGGCCTTCAGGCATACAGACAGAATATTGTATACATAATAAATAAATAAATATTAAAAAAAAAGAAGAGACCAGCAAGCCGGGCGGGGCAAGCCGGGCGGGTGGTGGCGCATGCCTTTAATCTCAGCATTAATCTCAGCCCTCGGAAGGCAGAGGCAGGCGGATCTCTGTGAGTTTGAGGCCAGCCTGGTCTACAAGAGCTAGTTCCAGGACAGGCACCAAAACTACAGAGAAACCCTGTCTCAAAAAATACCCCCCCCCCAAAAAAAAAGAGACCAGCATCACTGAGGTGAAATCTTGGAAGTGTTTCCTGGGAACACAGGAGCACAAGGAAACTGTTCACAAGGAAACTGTTCTAGAGGCCGCCAAGCTTGTACCTCATGCTGGCAGCTGGACTTGGTAGTGTGTAAGAGTCACGTGGTACAGGTGGTACTGGTTTGAAGGCATGACGGGGTCATAGAGAGCAGCTGAGACTTGGCACTGTGAGAGGTCAGGAAAGGCCATTGCGGGACGGAAGGGGTCATGCAAAGAAGTTGAGGGTTGGTGCCATGAGGAGAGCCTATGGGAAGCTATTGATCAAAGTGTAGCCCACTTGCAGCAGACAGACAATCCCAGCATTTTGGAGATGCCAGTACTATGGGATGATCACCCAGAACAGCAACAGCAGTGGAGTGGAGTCAGCCCGAGCCTAGAAGACAAGCTGCGTGTGCTGGAGAGGGTGGAACTGAAGAAGTGACCATAGCTCTTTGCAGGAGTCTAGGAGGTTATGAGTGAATCCCGGATAACTAGACATTGAGTTATTTATACTGTTGGAGTTTGACTTTGCTTGTTTCAAATTGTGACGGTGCCCTGGTTCTTCCCTCTTGAAGAAGGTATTTAATTTTGAATTTCTTAAAGGAGCCCGCAGTTGAAAAGACTTATACTTTTAAAAGAGATTGAATTTTTTAAAAAAGAATTTTATTAAGTGTAGTGTTCTGCCTGAATGTCCACCCGCCGGGCAGAAGAGGGGGCCAGATTTCACTACTAAAAGAGATTGGATTTTTTTTAAAAAGAATTTTATTAAGGGTAGTGTTCTGCCTGCATGCACATCTGCCTGCCAGAAGAGGGCGCGAGATCTCATTACAGGTGGTTTGCAAGCACCGTGTGGTTGAACTCAGGACCTCTGAAAGAGCAGCCAGCGCTCTTAACCACTGAGCCATCTCTCCAGCCCGAGATTGGATGTTTTAAGAGACTGAAATTTCAATGTGTCTGAGTTCATAAAGACTGGAACTTTTAAAATTATTTATGATTTTAATGTGAGATCTTGTGGGGGAAGAAGAAAGGAAGAGTTATAGCTTAATTAGTGGTCAGTTGTACTGGCTGTTTTTGTGTGCTAACTTGATATAAGCATGAATCATCAGAAAGGAAGGAGTCTCAGTTGAGGAAATATCTCAGTGAGATCCAGCTATTAGGCATTTTCTCAATTAGTGATCAATGAGAGAGGGCCCAGCCCATGGTGAGTGGTGCCATCCCTAGGTTGGTGGTCCTGGGTTCTATAAGAAAGCAGGCTGATCAAGTCATGGGAAGCAAGCCAGTAAGTAACACTTCTCCATCCATGGCCTCTGCATCAGCTCCTGCCTCCTGGTTCCCTGTCCTGTTTGAGTTCCTGTCCTGACTTCCTTCAATAATGAACAGCAAGGTTGAAGTATAAGCCAAATAAACCCTTTCCTCCCCAGCTTGCTTTTTGGTCTCAGCATTTTGTCACATCAATGGAAACCCTAATTAATAAAAGAAGAAAGATTGTCTGTTGGGGGAGCTATTCCAGGTGCATGAACTGGCGTTTTGGAGCCCATTCCCTATGGATACCTTGCTCAGCCTTCATATGAGTGGGGAGGGGCTTGGTCCTGCCTCAAGTTGGTAAGCCAGACCTTGTTGACTCCCCAAAGGAAGGCCTTAGACCCTCTGAGGAGTAGATGGGGGGATGGAAAGTGGGGGAGAAGGGGCGGTGGGAAAAGAGGAGGGAGAGGGAACTGGGGTATGTAAAATAAATTTTTTTAATTAAAAAAGAAAAAACCCTAATTAAGACAGTCTGTTACGTTAAATCTTTTTTTAAATATTTATTTATTTATTATGGACACACTATTCTGTTTGCATATATGTCTGTAGGCCAGAAGGACACCAGACCTCATTACAGATGGTTGTCAGCCACCATGTGGTTGCTGGGAATCGAACTCGGTTCCTTTGGAAGAGCTTGCAATGCTCTTAACCACTGAGCCATCTCTCCAGCCCCCTGTTACGTTAAATCTTAACATCTTTGAAAAAGGAGCCCATGAGGCCCTATCACTTACTATTGGCAACTAATGGATTGAGGGGTGAGATACCCAAATGTAGACACTGATGATCTCACAAGGCTCTGATTGCTCCAAACTCAAGGTCAAATGTCTTTTCTTTTTTCCTTTAAATTTCTTCTTTGGTTAAGTTTGCTTAATTAATTAATTTATATTTTAGATATGAGTGCTCTGCAGATATACCTACGTGCCAGAAGAGGGCACCAGATCATCATTATAGATGTTTGTGAGCTGCGCTGTGGTTGTTGGGAATTGAACTCAAGCCCTCTTAACCCCTGAGCCTTCTCTCTAGCCCCACATAAATGTCTTAAACTGTGAAACACTAAACTAAACAAAAACAAGTAAATGCAAGAGAGATTTTTATAAGGAATAAGGGGATTGACCAGGGTAGGAGGGAAATCAAGGGTAGGGAGAGTAAGCAGAAGGAATTATATATGCCTAAGAAATTGTCAAAGAACAAAAATTTATAATAAAAATCCTAGCCAGGCGGTGGTGGCGCACACTTTTAACCACTTGGGAGGCATAAACAGGCGGAATCGAGGCCAGCCTGGTCTACAAACCGAGTTCCAGGACAGTCAGAGCTGTTGCAGAGTAACCCTGCCTTGAAAAAACTAAAATAAACAAAAATAAAAAATCCTATTCAAAATATCTTCCCCAGTTCATGCTCTCCAGTAGCAGAAAATCTATATAAAACCCATAAAGGCTTTCAGAGTAATAAAACGTTTGAGTTAATGGTCTCAAAAGAACTAGGATAGAACTCATCATCATTGGATTTTCCAGGAGGTTAAGCGGGAGAAGAATAATTTGAGGACCACTTTGTGTGGTGGTGGGTTCAGACAGAAAATACGGGTTAGAGGCTTTTTCATCAGATACATAACATCTGTGAAAACAAAGTTGAAAGTGGCAAATGTTATTAGTGCTAAGAGCTTCACTAAGAACTTTGGTTAAAGAAGAATCATTCATGCTTGACTGGTGAGGCACACCCTTAATTCCAGGAGTTCAAGACTACCCTGGCCTACATATTGAGTTCCAGTTCAGCCAGGT